ATGTATAATAAACCTTCCGTTGTTTTTTGTCCAACTGAAAAGTAATTATTTCAGTTTAGTAGAAAAAATTCCTAGCAGCTGAATAAATGCCTTTACTCTAATGCCCAAGGAAAGGAAAATGACAGAAATAACAAATCTTTTTTAATTATAAATTTTATTTTAAAATGTAAATGTCATTAACCATGCGTACAAGTTAAGATGGTATTTTACAACTGGGGTTTTTTTATTTTTATTAATTTTTTTATTATTATTTTTTTTTTTTTGCTTAGGACATTGTTACAATATATACTCTATGCAGTACAAAATACATAAAAAGTTACAGCAGAGCAAGAATAGATCAGCATATAACTGTACAACTGTAATACTTCAATGTAGTGATTTAGAAAGGTAAAAAGTGACCCAGGAAAGCATTGAAATGCTGTTGATAAAACTGTCCAGGTAAAAATGATGTGTGTAACATCAAATTTCACCAAAAGTGAAAAATATGTCTATAAAACGTGTGTCCGCGCATGAACATGTGCGCGTATACACACACACAATGTACATACACAACTAACTATAGTTGTAACTAAAGATGGGTCTAAACCCCAAAGTTCAGATGGAGATTCAAATTCTCCCAAAGTCCCAAGATGTTTGTTTCTATGATTTTGGGTCAGACTCATCACTAGTTGTAACCAAATGGATACCTATCATTGCTCTGTCGACATTCCCTCAAATATTGTTTCTTGCACTGTATATTTTTTATTCTTTTGGGGGTAAACAAGCACTATTTAGTTATGTTCTCTTCCACCTGCTGGCTATATAGTCATCCCCAACACTTAAAAATATATAAACCCATTATACTGCTCACTGTCATAGTCTACACATGAGCATCTATACACACAAACATGGGGCATATGGGAGTAACAGAGCACCAGAAAGTCAGTTTGTGGGCATCAGTTGGTGAAATTAGCAACGCAAGTGGCTATGAGAAGGCAAGCTTTAAATATAAAGAGTCTTATTTTCCTTATTCTTTGTTCATAAAGCATGTCTCAAAACATAACACAATTCACGCAGTACAAAACTTAGAACTCACATCAGATACTCTGACTGGACAAAGCCAGGTGTGAAATCAAATGAGGACTTCATGAGCTCTCACATGGCCATTTCCTATACCTGATTCTATACTGGCTATATAAAACATACAAAAAGCATTGAACTTCTTGATACAAGGTAATGAGGGTTTAAAGCTGTACAGAAGTTGCAGGGCTAGAATTTATTGCAAGTAATAATGCGGTAAAAAAGGTAGGGTACATAGAGAAAACACGTCATCTTACACAGAAATTAGGTGTTCCTATCAAACATAGGCTTTTGTTGTTTTGTTATAAATATATACCTTTACCATTGCCCAATGTAAACAAAGAAATGCTATAAAAGCAAGGAGCCAACTAGTTTGCAGACTTTTAAGGATGTGGGGGCACCTCATATGACACAGCCCGGCTGCCTAGAGCTTACCATGCTGGATTCCTTTCCAGGAAGCAGGACAGGAAACTGAAGTTTTATGGCCATTAATGCACTTTGGGTTTTGCACAGAGGAAAGTTAAATTATGTCCAATGGATCATATTGCAATTTTCTGGTAACTAGAATAAATTTGTATATATAAAAGTATCTGAGTGGAAACCCATGGAGGGAACAAACTATTGTCCTCAAATCGTGCTGGTTCCAGCTCAACAACAAAATTAACTCCTTAATGTTGATAAAACATAAAGCAGAGTTTATATCAAACTGTGTATAGTTTATAGTCAATCAGACTTCAGTTTGTTTTAATGGTCGTTTAATGGAGAAGAACAGCAATCTTTACAATTTCCAAGAAAACTAAAATGATCATTTTCAATGTTGTAGGCTCTTCATACATCATGACACTTCAGTTTAACTAGAGCAAAAGGAGCTAGGACCTGGGCTGGGGACAACTGTAAACAAATCCTAAGGGTTTTATTGTTTGCTGCTAGCCATATCAGCTGAGTGCTTGGGTCGAAGGAGATAAGCACTTGACATGAAGGAGTGGGCAGAATTTGTACCTAGCCAAAGCAGTGTATCCTGATCTTGCAGTTTGGGTGTAGTAATGGGAGGCTAGTTTTTAAGTCAGAATGTTGGATAAAACAATAAAAGGTTTGGCATTTGGGGTCCGTGTGGATAAGCATCCAGATTTCAAATGCTTTATCTGAACAGTTTAGGCTACTTGAGTCTGCAAAAACTGAGGAATGAGAACGGAATCTTATGATATTGCTGCCACTTCTGCTTCTGGACAAATGCTGGAGAAACCAAAACTGTGTCTTTAGCTAAGAGAATCTTGAGAGAAGTGCTGTTCAGATTCAGTTCTAAAACAACCAATGGATTGGATTGTGGGGAAGGGATTCTTCATTGTGTCTCTGAATCAATTTACTGATCCATTAACAGATGCACTAGTGTGGGTCGCTATTAAACTGGCATTAACAAGAACCTAAATGTTCATAATATTTATGGCCACTAATGTAGAAAGCATTTAATGTAAGTTTTGAAACTCTAGCCAGGGTCTTAACGCATGACAGATCTGAATATTAACTATAAAATTTTATCTCTGAGGTAGAAGAAATTCAAAAGTTTTGAAGGTTTGACACAGATACTGCCCCAGTTTAAGAATAAAATTGGTCTCATGGCTTTTCTCATGAGATTATTTGGTTGAGTTGGGAATTCCATTGAGAACAGCTTGCATTCAATATTTTTGCTTCCATCTAACTTTACAGAATGAATCCAAATATTTTTGGGAGCAGGCAGATAAAAGCTACAGTTTGTTGTTTGGGTAAAAGATTTATTCAGAACGGTTTTACTATCCTCTTCCAGTGCTGCTAGAGCAGCAGGGACAAACTTTTGCTGTAGCTAGACTGAGACTGTCAAAGCATTTTGCTTATAAACTAATCCATATCTTTACCTGAGTTACATTAATTCATAGTATACCCTATAAACTTGAATTTTGCCTTCAGAGATAGGTCAAGAACCTGTTTTAAATCAATGTCACCATGTATTATAATGGGTGGAATTGAATTGTATTCTGCAACAGAACTAAGAAGAAAATAATGCTTTCTTTAGAGATGATAAAGCATACCCGATTGAAGCCATAACATATAAAGGCCATCACTTTTTTGATGAGTACTTTGTAATCATCCTTTGTTTTCAGTTTTGTTTCCTGTATCATTATCCCTATAGTAAGATTTATTCATGATGAGAGAAATATTTTTACACTTAATGAACTGATTTAAGAGTGTGTGCACTAGGCACAACTGACGTGTACAATTCTCTAAGCTAGTTGTCTTTTTTGTCCCTTTACTAACTACAGCACAAAAGCACTCTTATGAGCTGCAAAAACTATTGGAAAGTGAATTCCTGCTACCTGAATTGTATTAAAATGTTAACGTTGTGTATTTTATCAGAAGAGATTACAACAGTTGTAACTAGGGAGGTAAATGAACATGGCTTTTCCTAAACCAACAGTGTTCAGGCAACTCATCACACAAGTTAAACAATAATCGGACTTCTATCAAAAGGCTTTTTCCATCCATCATATGAAACCAGAATGTCCAGCCTTATGTGATTTTACAATTCAACAGAAAAAATTGTTTTTGTAAAGGTGAAGTTTGAAACAAATATACACAAAAATACTGAAATATCTGCACTTTAACCTGTGTTTAAGTAGTTACCAATCATACAACTGAAAGAGCGCTTGGATTTATCAACAATGTAAATGGTATGCAAGTACCTATGAAACTACTTACAAATCTATAATGTAATAGCCTCTCGCAGTTAATATACAGTACAAATTTTTTTTAAAAACCTAGTAAAATTGGATCATTGCAAAGCAGCAAGTAAGATATGGATCAAGACTCCTTTGGAATGTGGAGGCATTCACTTTATATCAAACAGCAGGTTTGGTGTATTGAGTTTCTTTTCACTGTGCTACACTTGACTGCATTTATTCTTTACAGTAATGTGAAAAAAATCCAAAACCAAAAGCACCTGAATTTTTAATATGCACCATCTGAACCAGCCAATCCAAACAAAGTATATTTTCTGACAATGAGGTCTCTGTGACATCACAATATTCTGGTCCTTTGCTATATTCTATACCATTTGTAAAGCACAGATATATACCTGATAAAGTGGTCTAGTATTAAAAATTAATAGAAAAATCACAACTCCCCTTTTTAATATACAATGTCTCATAGGTGAAGGGGATATTGCTTTATAGAATGCTGCACTACAGGTGAAAGAGAAGCCTGAAGTATTTTTTGAGTTAAAACACCATTTTTGTAACACTTTTTTAAAAATGCATGTTTTTTTGTTTCCTTTTTATCGGTGACCACAGTTATGATGCAACAGTGTACAGAAACTTTGTCTTAAGCAATTTCTTTGCGTTAGCATCCAGCTGTACAGTAGGTAAGTACCTTGATAAAAGTTTTGATGGGCATTGGTTCAGCTACAAGGTTTTCTCCGTTCTTTTTTTTTTTTTTTTTAAAGTGTGTGGGGGGGGGGAGAAAGTTGTTCAAGTCAATGTGGTTTGCTTTAATATTTCGTTGGTCCCATATTCGATAGGCAGTGCAGAGAGAGCTTATAACTCAGAGAGATAGAAGACAAAATGCCTCCAAAATTCCATACCACCTTGCTGGAAAAGCTGTTACCCAGTGTCAATGTGTTTCCTTGTGTTTAGATTCTTTGATTAAGGCATCTCATTTAGAAATCTTTCTTGGAAGTTAATCTAGCTTTAAAAAGAAAAGTTTATCCAACTCGGACAGGAAGATTTTTGCAACAGGAAGTTGGTTTTTGGAGCATCTGCGGTGAGAAATGAAAGGATTGCTTGCTCTCAAAAGCAAAGGGCAGCTGCATGAAAAAGTGGGCCCCCCAAAGGTAGGATGTAACTGAAATCAAACAATAAAAGAGCCTGGCACTAACTTCCAGTACTAGTTTGTTTGTTTTTTTCACACACGTGGAGAAAAAACAAACAAAATGTTTCTGAGTGCAAATATATTTACCGAGTAAGGTTGTGGCAAAGGTATGTCTTCATTGTACTTATTGTGTAATATAAATAGCCATCCCTGAGAAAGGAGAAGGGGGTGGGGGGAGAAAGCCCAACACAACTGAATTGTAACTGTATATATGCTTGTGTTGTGCAATCCCATCTCTCAAAACTGCTCGGACACCTGAGGTGAATTATAGATGGGTTTTTTAAGGTTTTATGGGGTTTTTTTTATTTATAAACAACAATCAAGAGCATCTGTTTATGGCTGTAAAACGTATGAAATATTGAGGCAGCAGGAGCCACTAAGTGGAACATTAAGATCCGTCTGTCCGTGAGGTTAGACCAGCCACCTGTTTGGCGAGGTGAAGAGTTGTTGTTTTGAAGTTGCAGTGAGAGGCAGCTACTTACTGATTTGAAAAAACAAAACAAAATAAGCGACGGTTTTAAAACTGTGTGCAACACAAATTCAACTCCACAATAAGTGTCAGAGGCAAAGTGCTGACATCCAGTGCAGGTAGGTTTATGGGGAGCTGGCGGGGCTGATGGTGGGGCTTGATGCATCCGAACGGCTATAGTCACTGACAGACCCCGTTCTGGAGCTGCTGCCGCTCCGCCTCTTGAGCATGCTGGGGTGGAAGTTGGCATGGCGACGGGCATGCTTCGTCAGGTGGTCGCTGCGCATGAAACGTTTCTCGCAGAGAGGGCAGCCGAACTTCTTCTCTCCAGTGTGAGTGCGGTAGTGCCGGGCCAGTTCGTCGGAGCGAGCAAATTTCTTGTTGCATTCTTGCCAGCTGCATTCAAAAGGCCTCTCTCCTGCGAAAAGAATGACATGGTCTTTGTAATTACAAGGGCCAGCAATGCAAGCACAGTGTTTCTCGCGTTTTCTGCAGGAAAGAGGAAAATTGTGGGAGGTGGGGATGGAGTGGATGTCATTCCTCCCAGAGGGAGGCAGATAAAAGGTCTGTTTGTTGTAGAGGAGGCTGTTGTTGTATTCCAAGCTATTGGGAGTTCCATATAACGAGTAACACTAGTGAATGGTTTGATCTTCAGAGGTACGGAGCACCTGCCACTCTCAGTGAAGGCAAGGACAGCCGTGGGAGCTCAGTGCCCTGAAAATCTGGCCCACCCTATGTAACTATGGACTTTATTGATCCTATCTGCACTGCCTGTGCATCTATGGAGCACTCTCTGAACCCCCAAAGTGATATATCAGCATCCACTTGGCTCACTGTAAAACCTGAGAAGATTTCACAAGGTCAGTTTCTGTGGCGGTTCACAAAGGTGATGATGAAGTATCTGGACTTGATACCACCAGGACCATACATAGATTATACAAAGAAGCAGTGTTGTCCAGTAGATAGGGCACTGGGCTGGGAATCAGAAGACCTGAGATACAGTCCCAGACCTACCTCTGGCCTGCTGCATGGCCTTGGGCAAGTTACATTGTCTCTCTGGGCCTCAATTTCCCCATTTGTAAAATGGGGATAATGGTACATACCCTCCTCTGTAAAGTCCTTTGATATCTATGCATAAAAGTCCTATCTGTTACATGTAACACACTTCTATAACCCCCACTTCTGTAGTAGCTGAGTGGCTCATAAAATTCATTAAAATATAACAAGTATATTTTATTAATCTGTATCTTCTAATTTTCTTGTGATAACCAACTTTTTAAAAACTTCCTAGTTATACTAATTTATGCTTCCTAAAATTGTGGATAAGTGTATAGTGTTATCTGTAATGCTTAGAGGACTGCAACTATTCTGTGCCAACAACAGAAGTAAAAATATTGCATAGAATAAACCAAATAGAAAAAATTGCTTTTTCTGAATATGGGCCTCCCAACTAGACCCTGTAGGTATCTTTGATTCAGCCAAATTTCTGGGCCTAATATACAAGCTGTTGGCTGGCTGAGGCTCCTTTACTCGGGATGCCTAGTGTGAGTATGTCTAACACGAGCTGGTAATTATACCCCTAGTTCCCAGTGTAGACATACCCTTAAAAAGACATGCAGTTTTGATGTACTGCATCTTTGATATTGCTGGGGCAAGCAGCACTGATAACAGGCCTGATAAAAGTACTGATAAATGCCCCCTCATGGGATTTTAAGAGGCATCTCTGATTAGCGAGAATAGGATTATGTCTCCCATGTACAGGAAGCGACGATTGTATTCTTGCTAATCAGGATGCATGCTTCATCTTCTGCAGACGGAGCTGAGAATTTGTTCCTGTAATGGGTGAGGGCAAAGGTGAGCTGAAATCATGGGGGTGCCTCCATGCAGCAGGAGATACCAAATGCTTCAGCATTTAAATAATAAACAAAGCACATACTCCATAAACAACAAGGAGTCTGGTGGCACCTTAAAGACTAACAGATTTATTTGGGCATAAGCTTTCGTGGGTAAAAACCTCACTTCTTCTGATGCATCTGAAGAAGTGAGGTTTTTACCCACGAAAGCTTATGCCCAAATAAATCTGTTAGTCTTTAAGGTGCCACCAGACTCCTTGTTGTTTTTGTAGATACAGACTAACACGGCTACCCCCTGATACTTGATACACATACTCCATGTTTCATGACCACCAGGTCTATGTTGTCTGGTAAGCATATAAGTTTTTCACCTTCTCAATTACATCAAGCTCACGTTTGTTCCTGTGACAGTATCTCTGGATTTTTAATCAACTCAGACTACAAAAGAAGGAGGTACATTCTAAGGGCCCCCCAATTTTTTTTTCACATAGTACTGAGCTGGGGAGATTTAGTATCGCCAGCAACCCCTGTGGGATCATGCCCACTGCAGCTCCGGATCCCAGCACCTCGCCTGCTGAGTCCGCGACATGCTCAGCCCCCACTGGGTTGCAGAGCTGAGGCCAGCTCCTTTCTTCAGGCATTGTGACCTGGCGCACAGGATCACAGTGCCACTGAGGTTTGGCTCATCCGCCCCTCCGTTGATGGAGACAGAGGAGCAGATTGGCAGTGAGTGAGTGGTGTTGCGACCTAGCACACAGGGATCACAGTACCACTCATGTTTGGCTGGCCCCCCTCTGGACAGGCCGAACCTGAGTGGCGCTGTGATGCCCAGGTGCCGGGTCCCAATACTATTCTGGGGACCCTCTCCAACAAGGGACTTGGGGGGAACTGCCCCTTTTTCCACCAACACTGTCACCCTCTGGCAACCCTGCTAGCAACGATACACACCATGTATAATGTGCATAAGGCTGTAGGCGCCACTGGTGCAGACACTGTGAAATGCTAATAAAACAAGATGTACAAGAACAGAAAAGTGTGAAACTCCGCCCTTTACATAAGTGGTTATGTTTAAAGGAGCACCCAGCCAGCACATTCATGTAGCTATGATGGCTAACAAAGCTTAGAAGATATTCAATCCCCAAACACACAGACTCTTTCTAATCCTCCTCTCCATATATCACAAGACTAGCCAGCTCTGCTGTATGACCCAGTTTCAGCAAATCCACAGGCAACATTATGACATCTGAGCATCACTTTATTTTCCATTTTGGGAGTGGGGAAGGAATCTTCTAGGGACCTCTCATTTTTCTCTTCATTCCACAACTCAAGGGCCCTGTGTGAGATTGACCAATGTTAGCTGATGAGTGCTAGATGCAAAGGCCATAAAACCCCCACTTCTTGGATCGGGCAAAAGTAGTACATTTCAGTGATGCAAGGTATGTATTATACCTTCCCTCCCTCTCCCCACCACCGTGCTCCTAGAAGCATGTTTTCCCAGCCACTGCCACATTGGGGAGCAAGGGACACATTCATTTTCTGTTTAATTCTTGCATGACCCTGTGAAATATTCTAAGTTGTCTCCTGTCTAATTTTTCTTTTTGCTTTCCCTCTGAGTACACTGCACATGTTTTACTATGATAGATACGCTTTAACGTTTCCATTAGCTCTGCCTTTCATGTGTGTGTAAGGGGAAGGGCGTGTTTTCTGTTTCAGTATTGCTCTTGCTGGGCCTGGAGGAAGCTTCTGATCTCTTTATCGCCCAGACTAGTTTTCTTAGTGTGTGTTTTCATAGCAACCAGAATCAGCAAATGCTGTTGGCAGGGAAGACTTTCTCCATTCAATGGCTGCTTTTAGATAGAGAAGGGAAATGTTAATTTGGAATACTTCTCTTCTTTTGTTAGCCTGACCATGAAGAAAAAACAAAATGGTATCTCACCTATTGGTCAACTAGCTCATGATCAGCTGCTATTTTCTATGTCCAGTGGTTAGTACCGTGCAGCAGGCACAATGCCTCTAGCAGCCCTGGGATGCTAGCATAGCTGCTCCTTCACATTTGGAAAGGATGCTGTGTTCACTCTTTGTTCCCTTCCTCCCCACCTCCCTTCAGCCAGCTGTGTTGACCAGCACGGAGTCCCTTAGGGTAGAAGAGACCCCAGGTCCTGGAGCTCAGAATTGGAATAGTACCTGGCCCATTGTGCACTCATAGAGAGCCAGTCATTATGGGCCAGAATGTGACATATGTCCACATGGCCATTCTGAGCTAATAGAGGGGTATGGCAATAATTATAGTGAGGATGATGGGCATTAGAGCAATAAAAACGGTGAAGCTTGAAAATTCCCAAGAGTATAGGAGGAGAGGATCTTCCTCCACCAACCGCTGTACTCTTCCTTTCCATGCTCTCTTTTTCCCCCTCCTTCCAGTTCAACCTTCCTCGCCCTCATTTCAGTCCTCCCTAGTCATGTCAAAGTTTGACTAATTTTCTTTCTGTAGTTGCCCCAAAGTTTCTTGGCCTGGTGGAGTCACCTTTCCCAACCATGACTGGCAGACAGGGTTGCTTCTAGGGGTTGTTAGTTTTCTAAAATGCTTCCCAACTCTGGGGTAAGTCCTCCTTAAAGAATAACTCCACAGTGAAGGAGCCCTGGATGCCTAATGTAAAGAAACCAAACTCATTACTCTTTATAAACATCAGCATGAGGGCAGGAGCAAAGCTGCCTTTGGGTATTAATTAAGGTGAGTCCTAGCTGCAGTATTTCCTCCAAAACCACATATGGAAATTCTCAGGCTGCCATCAGTCTCCTCCTCTCTCACACAAAAGAGAAGTGGTTTTCTGTGCAGGTAGGTTATATAAGTGGCCTTTTACTGGCAGTAAAGCAATCAACAGAACTGGAGATTATATGACTTGATTGCTTAATTGTATCAGGGAACATGCAGCCACAGTACATTTTTCTTGCATAAGCATTACCCCATGGACACGGTGTTCTCTCCAAACAGCTTTCAGTATTAAAGTAGCTCTCTCCTTTGTGTTCTGTGAAGCAAATCCTGCAGCCCTAGCTCACGCAACGCTGAAACTAATGAGAGTTTTGCCTTAGTAACAAACTGCAGGATTTGGCCCTAAAGGTTAGTGTAGAAATATTCCATGGTGACTGAAAACTAGTGTAACAAGTGAAGAATGTGTATATATTCTTCAAACTGTACCATGGCTACCTGAGAATCCCTTTGCTAAGAGGGAACATTATGGACATTGGTAGCAGATCTTGCCACACACGAAAAAGAAGTCAATCCCGAAAGATGAACTGCAAGGGCTTAAAAAAAAAAAAAAAAAAACTCGTATGCAGGCTTCTCAGAGAGGAAATAGGTGCCTGGCTATCTTACAAGGTATGGAATATTCAACAACAATTTAAATAAGTTGGATCCCAGAGATCCTAATAAATCTGAACTGCAACCTCTCTTGTTCCTCTGACAGAGCACATAACATCATCCAGCTTGTGTCTGGAGTTACAGCATTAAAGTATAGGACAGATGGAAAAATAACACATTGGAGAGCTAAATTCAACTGATCTTAAT